TTTGAACTCAACTCACTAAAAGGACTGCAGCATTTTCCTGCAAAGGCTTTTCTAGCATCTGATCATTGATGTCTTAGCAATGAAGGGGAACAGGACACTGACTTCGGTTGATTCTTGAGCTGCTCAATAAAGGAGTTTCCAATGTTTCATTCTAGATATTCCAGAGGAACTCTATATGTAGCTTCACCAAATGAAGCTCTGATATCATTTGCACCAATGACTGTGGAAATTGTTCCATCTTAAGTTTCTTTACTTTGTTCTTTTAACCTTATCTTATGCACTTATAAGCAATAAATTAGACTGTGTTTCACCAATGCCAAGGTTTAAAAGTGACCCCCTCTTATCTGCAAACTATAATTGACTGTGCTTCTTTTGGGCGGAGATTTGGTGGGATTATCACATTCTAGCATGAAAGTGGCTCCAAAATGATGATTTAGCAGATAGTCATAGCAGAAATGATGTAGCACAAAATTTTGGAGATTCAAAGGCAGAAGTATGTAGCTGAAGGGTAAATGCTTGTTCTTTTTCATCCTGATTGATGAACTGAATGCATCAAGCTGAAGCTCCAAGGAAATTCTGAAATATCTCAGTTACTGCATAAACTTAAAACTGCTAAGCAAATTTTCTTTGATTGATTTATTTTCTGGTAATCTAGCTTTCACATGCCAAATACTGCTTCTTATTATTGCACGCATGCTTTATTCATTATGGTCAGTAAAATCTTAAGAGGTCAAAGTAAAGTATTCAAGTCCTTGGGCAAAGGCTGCAGCTTAATTGGGTAGGGAACCTTCCAATTTAATATTTTAATCATATATCCTCCATCCTATTCCAATTCTAATGGGTATGTGATTTGAGAAAAAAATAGTAATATACAAACAAGTAATTTTTTATTTAAAAATTTTGAATTTAACTCTTTAAATGATTAATAATCTTGCTATTTAATTAAATGATTCAAGACATTAAAAAAAATCTTAACTTCCTAAATGATTAATTTCCATCCATCACACATTTATTCTTCATATACAATG